TTCCAAAGGTTTGACATTTAGCTGTTCCAGACCTGCTCCAGATGGACGGCGGGATACTCGGTGTGTGTGTGTGTGTGTGTGTGCTCGGGTGACGTTTAGCCCGCAAATGTAAGGATAGGGCAGCTGGTGGGTGGATAATTTTAAAGTGCAACACTCCCCCCTGGTCAAAGTGCGCAAATTAGCTCTCTGCCGTTAATTGTCGGGAGAGCGGCAAAGCGCGCAGCCTGCAGGGCGACCTCTGCTGGTGAGAGAAACAGGAGTCCGTATGAAGCAGAGCCAGCTTCAGACGTGTTAACGCGCACGGTTTGGATTTAAAAAATACATAAACAATGTCTTGACTTCCACTAACAGGTATGTGCAGGCTGCCCTGAGGGGTACAGTGCTGCCTGAATGTGTTCATGGTGTAGATACAAGGACAGCTGCTGTTCCTCCTCACCTCCACCAGGTGTCAGCCCAGACCCAGAGAAACCTCATAAAATCTGTAGATGATGAGAGGAGATGAAGGCCCCTTGTTTTTTTGGGGGTTTGTTTTTTGCATTTTAAAGGTTCCAAAGTGATAAAATCAGACAAACCCCATCTGACAAGAATTCACCACAAAGAAGCTTTTTTTTTTAGAAGTAATTTGGACTTTTGGTGTATAATTTCTGATATTATAACAATAATGGCATAATTTATTTAGGAATAATATTTTTGGTTTGTTTGAAATGGACTCCAGGGGCAATAGAAATGTGCTCATCCATATTAGGCCTCTAATTTGAGAAAACAATCTTGCCACAGGGGCCCTTTAGAAGCTGTCTGATCTGCTTTCAATCATATCACATGATCTGCATCACCACATGGAGTTTGTGAGTTATAAAGAAATTGTGTCATCAATTGTTTAAGTTCCCTATTAATGTTTCTGTGGATTTTTAAATACGTCTTGTCCAAGTTTGAGGCAGAAACGCTTAGTCAGTGAATGCAATATTGACTGACAGAAAATTAATGACATTATTTCCACAACACAAGCCTTGATAATCAATTAATCCTAATTTAGTGTTTTATTAAACATTCTCTGGTTGCAGTTTTTCATATGCGAGGATTTGCTGGTTTCCTCTTTTTAGTATCATTTAAAATTGAACATCTTTCAAGTTTAAACAGCTGGTTGAAACTGAAATGCACTTTTGGTTTTTTAGCATTTTATAGACAAAAGGATTTATCAATAATAAAAATAATCATCAGTTGCAGATCGTCTTACGCTAGAAACATTTTGAAAACCATTTCTCCATAATTGCTAACCAGCAATGTGGTGAAAATGTGGTGCTCAACTTTCAATATACCAATATTATACAAGAAAAGCCCCTGAATTAATAAAATGATGGAAAAAAAAAACAGACCAAGACAAGACAAGCTGCATCAATAGATTTTTTTAATTCAAAGTGAATCTTAACAATAATACACCATAAAGTCTTATTTTGACACTCACCAAAAGAGTCACCTGGAAAACCCGCTTAATGTGACAAAGTAGAGAAGGCTTGGTCACACCTAAATCACTGAGAACTAGAGAGGAAACACTATCGCAAACTGTAAATAGACATCACATCCATAGAGTTAGTTTTCCCAGTCCTCATACTGTAAATATTGCACAGTGCAATTGCTACATGGCAAACTAGTGTAGCACAAAATAAAAAAAGCAAATGAAACAAAAAAAAAAAACAAAGCCACAAAAAATCTACAGGTATTAAAACAGTAACAGTTCAGATTTCATAATCAAGTCTATTTGATGAGCAATCTAAACAGATGATTCCATAACTTGCAGTGTGAATTAACTCTGAAATTGATACAGATGACCAGAAAACTGAAAATAAGAGCTCGAATAAAACAATTCCATCAAATCAAAGAGTAACACAGTAGCATTTAGACTAATACAGACCCTGAATTAACATCTTTAAAGGATAATACCGCAGCAGAGGATTTTTTTTTCTGATATCAAAGTCATAACTTTAATAGTAGTAATTTTACAAATGACTGTTTTATCTGTTAAATGATACATGAATCCTCAAAAAAAGTTATTCATAAACCAAGGTGTCAATCGTGTGTGGAAAATTAAAAACAGTTTGAAGATTTCTCTCCTCTTGCATCCATTCTTTTACTAACAAGTATGGGAGAGTTTATGCAGGCGCATTGCTGGTGAATACCTTTGGAGGAATCAAAACACAGATTACATTTCACATGCTTAGTATTGGGGAACTATTTCAAGCACTAATCTGTCAAGTGCATGCCTTCTTTCTTTACCAAAATGATACTTGAGTATGATCAGTAAAGCATACAGGTAAGGGAAAAAAAGCTATCAAAAAACATACAACCATCAATGTCAGCGTTTAAATGTGGAGTATTGCACTCATGACTGACCACAATAATCTCCTTGACCAGAGCGGTTTCCATCCAGAACACA